AACCGAGGATCCTACATAATTGAATGCGGCCGGATTCCTTCACTTTACACAACAGCACCATATTCAGCAGACATAGTAGTGGTAGTAGTAGTAGTAGTAGTAGTAGTAGTAGTAGTAGGAGTATGAGTAGGAGTAGGAGTAGGAGTAGGAGTAGTAGTAGTAGTAGTAGTAGTTGTTGTGGTAGCAGCAGCAGCAGCAGCAGCAGCAGCAGCAGCAGTAGTAGTAGTAGTCGTGGTGGTGGTAGTAGTAGTAGTAGTAGTAGTGGTACTAGCAGCAGTAGTAGCAGTAACAATCGTCGCTGCCATTATTACTATTATTACTGTTACTTCTAGCATGTACTACTATAGCTACTGTGAATGTTGTTCTCTCAAATTTAGTGTTATGGGTTATAACACCAGCCATGATACATGGCTATAACACTACGAGTCCTAGTGTTGGCTTTTGGCCTTAACACATGCATCATTAGCATGATTGTCCTCCACTATCATTATGTTTACCAGTACGAGTACCATTATCATTAGCAGTTGCTTCGTTTGTATTATTATCACTCGCTTTACTGTTAATATGGTGTAAGAGGCGCTTACTACAAACAATAATTTAATAGCATACCATGAATTATTTCCATTCTTGCTACTATCACTTATGTTATGTGATTCTTGTTGTCATTGCATTTTCTGAACTCCGTCATTGCAGTTATTGTTGTTAGCATTGTGAATGAGACTTACTCTAAATTGCGATCTGAAATTGCGCTTTATTCGATCTCAGAGTTTCAGGTCTGGAGGTTGAGGGTGGGAGGAGGAAGTCAGTGGAGGAGGGATGGTCAAGGCAAGGTTACTTTTTAAACAGCGGCGTTCTTAAGAGTTCAGGGTTTGGTGTTTGGAGGGGTTGTGATCCTCACGACGCTCTACTCGCAATCTCACTTCGAAAACCTGTCAAACCAAAGTGAAGGACTGGATGGGGGAGGATGGAGGAGGAGGAACATCATACCCTAAGGCACCATGTACTCATACAGTCATATAGTACATACTTAGGCCTTAAAGTACCTATATAGGGACCCCTTTAAGGCTTTCAGTTTCTACAAAGGTACATGGAGCCTTTGGGATAGTGACAGCAATAGCAGCAATGCCGCAACCCTAAACCCTAAACCCCTAAAACCTAAAACCCAAAACCCAAAACCCAAAACCCTAAACCCTAAACCCCTAAACCCTAAACAACGTTCGACCGGATCGCTCGGCTCTTGGCTCGATCCAGTGTGTCGTTCCAATGCACCTGGCGACCTGCGCCCGAAAGCTTAGGCCGTACATTCCTCAGGTTTAGGGTTTAGGTTTTAGGGTTTAGGGTTTAGGGTTAATCCTTTTAACTCTACCAACCCGAGGCCCCAAACCCTAAACCCTAAACCCTAACCTTAACCTGATAACTCTACCAACCCGAAGCCCTAAACCCTAAACCCTAACCTAATCCTTATAATACCCTACCAACCCGAAGCCCTAAAACCCTAAGCCCTAAACCCTAACCTAATCCTTATAATTCCCGACCAACCCGAAGCCCTATGGTCCTAAACCCAGGTCCTAAGCCCCTGACCCCGATTAAAGGGTTTAGGGTTTGGGGTTTGGGGTTTAGGGTTTAGGGTTTAGGGTTTGGGGGTTTGGGAGTTTAGGGTTTAGGGTTTAGGGTTTGGGGTTTGGGGTTTTGGGGTTTAGGGGAGGCCATGGCTAAAGCCCCAAGCCCTACAGTACAGGAGGAGACCTGTATTCTCCCTAAGCTGAAACCTATGCTGAACACCCTAAACCCGAAACTCTTCAAACCCCTAAACCCCAAACTCCCAAAACCCTTAAACCCTAAACCCCAAACTCCCAAAACCCCTAAACCCTTCACCCGAAACTCCCATTCCTAAAAAACCCAAGAGCCCTGAGCCTTGGAGGTTCTTGACCAAGACTTGACCGGGCTCCCTCCTCAGGGGTTTAGGGTTCAGGCTTTTAGGGTTTNNGGTTTAGGGTTTAGGGTCTAGTTGAGTGCCAAAAGAATTCAATCAGGGTTCCCTTTAACTGTTCCTTAAGGGTCATTCTTCTGGGTTCCTTGAAGTGTTCCGTGTAGGGTCTTAGAGGGTTTTGTTTAAGTGGTCTAGTTCTGTGAGGGATCTTTGTGGCTTTATGGGGCTTTGCATAGGGATTCAGGCGGTTTCTTGATGAGCTTTGGGTGTACATTGCACACGGGAAGAGTGTGTGTGTGTGTGTGTGT